GTCTACTGCACTGACTTGTTAGAAGGCTTCAGTGAGTAAACACACAAGAAACGCTTGGCATAGTACCTAGCCCTGACTAGATCTGTGTACATATTAAATCAGTAAAGAAATCAACCTAGTCACTTTTTTTTGGCTATAGGGCACATTGCTCCCAGGAGAGAGACAGAGAGAGGAAGTGAGAAATCACCACCCAGGGGGATGCACACACATGTGCCCAGTGTGATTTTCAAGCCACTAGATTTGGGCTCTAACTGTGGTCAGCCATGTGGCAATCCAGCGCCTTAACCACCATGCCACCTTGCTGGCCTCCCACCTCGTCACTTTTAAGATCTCTTAAGTCCTTTCAGTCCAGTTTGCTCTCACTCATCCTTCAGGCCCCAGGTACCTCTCTGGACACCTAGACTAAGTGAGACTTCCCCCACTATAAACTTCCACAAAATTTATCTTATCACAAGTTTAACACTTTTCTTCCCTCCATATGATAAGCTTCACAAAGGCAAGGGTGGGAGCCTGCCATATTCTAGCCAAGAATATCTTCATTGCTGCTGCTTTTTTTTTTTTTTTGCCAGAGGGCGTGTGTGTTAGTTGGAGACAGGGCGAGAAATCACCCATCATGGGAATGGTCATGCCACAATCCCTTCTTCTCCATCTCTCCCCTCTTTCAGGATTTTGGGCATGCACACTCACAGGCTTAGTGTGTCTCTCAAGTCACTGATACAGGACAGGAATGGAAAGGCTGGACAAGTGGGTCCCAGCTGCCCCATCACATATACTAAACTAAAAGCTCTAAAAGATGACATTAAGCAACATATCGTAGATGTGTGGGATTTCAGGCCACGTGGACACGAATGAGTAAGAGAAGATTAATTTCTATCATGAGGTACAATGCTATAACTGTGTTTTAAATATCAATTTCTTACCTTACTTAACATATATGAGGGATAAACAATTTTGCTTCCAGTGAAGCAGTTTATAGATCTTCAATGACAAATTAGGATTAGCGATAAGACTGTTGTGTTCCTAATAAAAAGAGAACAAGGCAGTATTTGATGTTATTATAAGCTTACCAAAATTAAAGGATTTACTTCCATCCACTTGATAAATAGTGTTACTGTCCGTTTTCCAGTGAACTTGGATAGGGTCTCCAGGTACTTCTTCCCTACAATAAAACACTGTATTTTAGAATAACTGGCCCTAGATGTCGCATTATGGAAAGGGCCATTCCAAAGTTTTATCTTCTGAATAATATCATACAAGATGGTAGTAACTGCTATCACTTATGAGAAAAAGGAGGGAAACCCATCTTTGAGGGTTCACCTCCTTGAGATGGGCTCCAGTCCCATCTTGCCCTCATGCGAGCCCCTCCTGGTCTCTCACCTGGTACTGGCAGCTAAAGGGATCGATCCAGAAGGCAACGGTGACTATGTTCTTCTTGACTAAAAACCTCTGGAAACGTCTGAAAGGCTTAGCATGGGATGGGACACCTGGATCGTGTAATTCTCTCTCCAATCTCTTCCTCTAAATTCCTATAAAACCCAAGCTCCATACAAATCAACTCATCTGACCCCCAAATGACAGTTAACCTCTCTGTGCCTCGAACACCCTGACCTTCGTTTCCTTTAAGTAACTTACTGGTTGGATCACTTGGGTCAGTTCTCAGGTTCTGACGCCAGCCAGGCACCCACACTCCCTCCCCTGAGCTAAGGACTCCCCTGCCCATCCTAACTGTCCCGAGGTACCTCACTGTAATGGCTTCTTGTGCAGCGGTCTGCAAATGCACGGGAGCTCCTTTCAGGAAATGCCCCGCCGTGACATTCTCATTTATTAAACACCATGCTCAGTAAAATTTTCTCTAATACAAAAAGTGCTGGCCTGAAGCAGGTCTTTTATGTCCCTTCCTGGTTTTCCCTATAGTAGTTATTCTGACATCACCACGTAGCCTGTATATTTGACTTTATGTCCGCTCCCACTAGGATGGAAGACCTGCAGGACGACGGAGGTGTCTGCTAGCGCAGTGCACTGTAGTATGTATGTATGAAGATATAATACACACACACGTACATACTTTATATATATGCATATACGAAGGTGTGTTGAGTGAACGAGTAGGCAGGTCCCTGCCCCGGGGCCGGCCGGCGTGCAGAGACCGCTGTTAGGGTTCGGAGCCCCGACTCCCAGGGCCTGGCGTGCGGTGGGGAGCGGCGGCGCGGGGCGCAGGGGTGCCGGTCTTCAACGTCAGCGACGGCGAGCCGGTAACCGTGCGTACCTCGGCGGCTGGAAGGCACTTTCTAGTTCTCCAACCCTTCCTAGTCACGTTACAGACAAGGGAACCGGGGCAGAGCGGGTGAGCCGCCGAGTCGCCGGGAGCAGCGGCTCTGGGAGGCGCGGAGGAGCCCCATCCGGTCCCGGCCCCGAGGGGGCCGCCGGGGGGACCCGGGGGCCGTCCACACCACCTACCTGCTGTTAAGCGGCCGGACTCGCACGCAGACCGCCACCGCGCCTTCCTCCGCCATCGCGCCAGGAGGGACCCAGGACTGGGAGCGCCCCCGCAGCCGGCGCTCTGGGCGCTCGGCCGCCCCGCCCTTAAGTTTAAACTTTCCCCAACGCCGCTCTGATTGGGCGCGGCCCCGTGACGTCACGGGCCAGTCCACTGGGCTCGCGGCGACGGGGGGAGGCAGGTGGCGAGTCCACTGCGCACGAGTGGAGGGGACGTGCGGGGCCTGCGAGACGCCGGGCGGCAGGGAGGGATCCCTGAAGCCCAGCAGCTTTATCCGCCAAAGGCTGCGGAAGGGCATCCTGCGCTACCCCTAAAAAGCGCGATCTGGAAAACCAGCAGTTAGCGTAATGGCTATGTCGCTGGACTCCCACATAGTTGACCACGGTTCAAGTCCCGGACTGGTAGCTTAAAACTCACTCCAGGCGCGTGTGCGTGCGTGCCAAAGATCCCGAGAGGAGAAGGGATTACGGCGTGGCCATCCCCACTTTCTGTCTCTATGTCTCTCTCTGTCTGTCTGGCAAGCACACAGTGCCCTGTAGCAAAAACCTCTCCAAAAAAAAAGAAAAAAAAGGGCGATCTGCTGAAAAAGCGAGGCAGAGATATACTGGGGAAGGGAGAAGTGCCTTTAAAGATTTATGGGAAATGGGTATTATAAAACAATTATGCACGGATTTCCAAAGTTTTTGGACCCAAATAAATTTATACTTTAGTTGCAGTTCCTATGAACTTTTTTGAAGTACGACTATATTTTTCACCCACTAACAAAAGAGAATTGCAATCTTTTAATGAACCACACTGACGATGTAAAACAAAAACCATAAGGAAAGATGTTGACATGGCAAGAGTTGAAACTTACTGCCAATGACCAAATCTAAGAAGCCTATCGTGCTTAAAAACTGTAAGGCAAGTTTTTTCTTTTCCTGCCCTGCCCTCTTACTGCCAATGACCAAATCTAAGAAGCCTATTGTGCTTAAAAACTCTAGGGCAAGTTTTTTCTTTCCCTGCCCTGCCCTGCCCTGCCTTTCTCTCTCTCTCTCTCTCTCTCTCTCTCTCTCTCTTTCTTTCTTTCTTAAACTCCTGCTTCTGTTGCTTATGGGTCAGCCTCAAATAAGACTACTTTAGGGAAAATACTTACTGAAGACTGGAAAAACTCATTCGGTAATGTGGTGAAGCTTTTATTAGCTGGAAAGGAAAAGCAATTTTCAATAACTATTTCCCAGAAATGGTGCTTGATTTTCCTTTGTCTTAGTTTATGTCACAGGAGTGGCTTCAGTCTTGATACTTAGGAGTATCAAGAATTTTCTGCTTTCTCTCACCAAAACTATGACCTGTAGTTACTAATAATTGTTACTGTATTTTGGGTAGTTGAAAACTCTCTTAACTATTGCTTTAATAAAAATATTAAATGTAATAAAGACTATTTTAGAAGATAATTTGACAATATCAACAAAAACTGAAGATACCTGTCCCTTCATGCCAGCAATTTTAAGAGTGTGAGTACTGGGAGCAGCAGATGGTGTTGCTGGACTCCCACATAGCTGGCCCTGGTTGGAGTCCCGGACCTGGTGGCTTGAGGATCACACTGAGCGCCTGTGTATGCGTGCCCAAAATCCTAGGAGGAGAGTGGAGAAGAAGGGATTGCAGTGTGGCCATCCACACTGGGGTGGGGTGGGGGGAGGGTGATTTCTCACTCACCCTGTCACTGTGTCTGTTTCTTTCTCAGAAAAAGCACATGTGCCCTTATGCAAAAGACTCTTAAAAAAGAGAGTGTGTGTATGTATTAATATTATATATCTGAAAAGTATGCATTACATACATATAAATACATATTAACACATACACATGGCTATTAATTTCAGCATTGTTTATAAGAGGGAATTATTGGAAACACTATAAATGCCTATAAAAGTGGGAGCAATGAAATGGATGGCATTGTATCCATATTCCAATGAAATACTTTGTAGCCAGTAAAACAGAAGGATACCCACTAGCTCCTCAGGTGTACTTTGGAAAGCTAGCCAAGACCTTTCATTAGTTGAAAGAGACCCAAGGCGCAAAATCTTGTGTACAGAATGGTCCTTCGTGATACGTATATTCTGTATTTCCAAAATATATTTACATGTCTGGGGATGCATACATGATTTCTGGAACGATACACAGAATATGCCTAGCTTCCTTGCAGAGTGAAAACTGAGCTAATCTACGTTTCATTCTATACTATTTGAAAATTATTAACATTTTAACTGTGGAAATATTAAGTAGTATATCTAAACTTAAACTAGTTAATGAGTGCAGGGACTTCAAAAAAGTTGTGAAAAAATGGAATTAATGTATGAGTTCATTTAAAAATGTATAGTATAGGACTCTGGCCTCTGAAATTTCTTGAATCCTATTTGTGCTGGCTCTTCTTTCTGGACAGTAGGCTCATTTTTTATTGATTATCTTTTTCCTACTTCAAAGATGATGATGTGTATATGATCAAAAAATCCAAATAGTGGGGACCAGCAGATGGAGTAATGGTTATGTTGCTGGACTCCCACGTAGTCGACCGCAGTTTGAGTCCTAGATCCAGCAGCTTAAAACTCCTGCCGGGCATGTGTGTGTGTATGTGTGTGCACAAAGTCCTGAGAGGAGAATGGAGGAGAAGGGATTGCATGTGGCCATCCCCTCAGGGGGTGATTTCTCACTTTCTGTCTCTGTCTTTCCAGCCACAGCGAAAATCTCTCTCAAAAAAAAAAAAAAAAAAATTGAAGCAGTGCCAGATTCACAGTGGAAAAACAATCTCACATCTCACATATGACCCCTAAGCTGCTAGTTTGCCTCCCCATAGCCAACCGTGCTCTCTCCCTGCCTGTTCCCAAGCTAATTTACAGGTGTGCGCAGGCGTAAGCACCTCGTTCTGTCCTGTGTATCTATGTCCATAGCCGGGCACCGCCACACCTGCTTAGTGCATTTGCTACAATGTGCTCTTTACTTGAGTGTATCCATTCCGTTCAAGAAGGGAGGTGAACACCCAGGCCCACATCTATGCTGACGTTCATTAGGTTCATTTCCCCCAAATCTGTGTTATTGATGCTGAAGCGGCAGAGGGCACTGTAATCCTTCCAGAACCATGGCATAGCCTTGGATGGTGTTTTGAAAATCTTGAATGTAGTGCAAATTCGGATTTGGAGAAGCTCCTGGTATGAAAAATATACAGTCAATGTAAGTTTCTGACCTAGGCTCAGTTATTCTTTGCATTTCACATACAACTAATTGCTATATATATTTCTATCATGTCAGTACATTCCTGTAGGAGAATTCTTGTTTTATAAATAGGACGCTTCATCTCAAAAGCATAATTCTTGTTTTATTTGCACTGATTACAGACACAGTGTCTCCTTTCCTTGAAGCGTGGCTCCAGAGGATTCGCGTGGCATCGTGGGATACCCTGACCTGCGGAATTCTGGGACACCATTTATATCTATGCCACGTCAGAAAATATCCATCTCTGTGTCACCCTTTTCTCATTTACAAAACTAGAGCATTGGGTTAGAATATTTCTATGGTCCTTTTCAGCGTTAATAGGTCTTGAACATGTTTATAAATGAAAAAAAGCTTGACTTGCTAAGAGTTCTCACCACAAAATAATGTGATCTAGGCATCCTGCAACGTGTACATATTTCAAAACATGTTATACACCATGAATACAGTCAATTAAAATAAGTAATAATAAAATATTTTCAAAAGGAACTTATCTAAATTAAGCATGACTATATATAAAATTATGTATGAACATGTGAGACGCTAGGGAAAGTGTCCCGTGTGACAGCGAAAATGTCAGGTCGTCACACTGCGGCGGCGACCAGTGGCCGTCCACCAACACACTCCTTCCTGGCCTGTCGCGGCTGGGGTGACCCACCAGGCCTGGTTAGTCAACTAGCATGTGCATGCTTCCTCTCTTGGCTGTGGTAAGTGCTCTTCCCTCACTGGCTATCTCAAACCCTGACCACTGTCCTCAAGCCCAGGTCTCTTCTCCATCTTTGTTGAGAAACCAGGGCCACCAGGCACGTGGCCTCGACTCCCAGCTCTGCTATGCCACCTCCTGCACACCATCCAATTGCGTCCCCACTGGTGCGTCCCTCTCTCAGTGCTCCCAGAGGGTGAGGTGTCTGTCATAGCTGAGCTGAGTCCGTCCATTCAGGCCCTTGGTCCTTCCAGAATTGCTCCAGCAATTATTTGCTCTCTATTTCAGAAAAATTCTAGAAAACACCAAAAAATAATCATCAGTAATTCTACTACTTCAAAAAATGATCCGAAGTTGTAAACTAGACATTGCTTCTATCACCCATTCACCTTCTGGAAGCGTTAAGAACACTCCAGGTGAAGATGGTGGGCTCACAGGGACAATCTGTCAAGGGTTGAAAAGTAGCTTGTCTAAAAGCAGATTTTGAAAGCAATTTCTCTGCAGAACAACTTTTTTTTTTTGTGCCACCTAAGAAGACTCTTGATTCACCATGGCAGTAGCAGCAATAAAATGTGTATTATAAAACAACCACCTTGAAACATTTCCTTCCAACCCAAAATGGAGCTTTATATTGTGTTTGTCAGAAATCTACATATTCTTCTCTTCCCGATGACTATAACTGCAAAGTGGAGCTGGCTCTGACATCCGATGGCAGGACCATAGTGTGCTACCACCGTCTGGACATTCCCTACGAACACACAGAACCTCCCCCTCGACCAGATCCTGTGCGCAATAATGAAGAAACACGTGAGCAAGTGCCGAAATCCAGGTCAGAGGACAGAAGGGAGCACCTGAGCAAGGACCCATGACAGAATGACTTAGCAAAACGTTCTTTACGACCAAGCACCGCTGGTGTTCTCACGGATGGTATCACAGACGTCGTAGGAAACCGGACCCTCCAACAGAGAGACGGCACCGAGGTTCTCAGAGGAGTCAGAAACGTGCCTCATTTGTCATTTAAGAAAATCCCATGTGGTGTATTCACTAATAGATTATGTAGTAAAATGATAATAAAATTTCCTTTTTTTTTTGAGAAG